CTCCTGGGCCCCCCCCCCCTTAAATAATTCTGTATCCGCCCCTGATCTATATATATATATATATATATATATATATATATATATATATATATATATATATATATATATATATATATATATATATATATATATATATATATGCCTTCTTATGATACGTGTGACACTACCGGGTTTATTTGACTACACCTTATTACGTTCACGGATAAGATTTTATTTGTCATACTTAATTAATGTGTCAAGGTTGTGTACACAGTCTACCCATGGCCCCTGTCCTAGCAACTAAAAAGTGCACAACGCTGTTTAACTACATACATAACGCTTGTAAACTTGTTGAAGGCCGGTGTAACAGGAATGGTAGGCCTAATCCTAGGAACGGAACTCCGCGGTTCAGGTTATAGCTAGGTTAGCGGCGTGACAAGAATGATAATAATTACAGGAATGGTAGTCCAGGGTCCCATGTGATAAGTACAGGTTAGGTTAAGTCGGAGTATTGGGGTTTGTATGTGGGACCGTTGACATCAATATTGTCACCTGTACAAATTAAGTAATGGGGAACGGACTACAGTGCTCAGCGGACTGCCATTCCTGCCACACCTGTACACACACGTGGTTATTCACAACCCCTATACCGATGTAACAGTACAATCAACAAACGCTGTTCGGAGTTCAATGATTAGGCCTTTATTGATCGCGCCCCAGTTACACATTCAGTCGACCCTGTGTTGTCCGCGGAGTAAACATTAATTACCCTGGACAAAATGGCTAAGGTTCAGATGGAGTACAACTTTTTAGGAAGGTCCGGGGTGAGGGTGTCAAACATCTGCCTTGGAACTATGACGTTTGGGAAGATCAACGTAATGGTATGTATGACTTGCATTGACTTCATCAGCGTCAGGACTGGGTTACGTCACCACGTGCTGGTCTATATGTCTCCCTCCGCAACGCTGTCAAAGTTGACACTCCGCTGAAGGTACCGTGTGTAGGGCCTATTCTACACCCGGCGTGACCAGAATGAAAGTCCTAGGAATAAAAATCCTGTGTAACATGACAGAACACCCCTCATGATAAAGAGTCTACTTCCCATTCATTTATACAGGTCAGCATCGCCCTAGATTTTGACCCACTTAGGTCAGGATGACCTTAACCGTTATAGCTAAATAGAGGGCGGACTTTCTGTTACACGGACCCTCAGTTGTGTTACACCGGGGTCCCATATGATGAACACGGGCTTGGGTTAGTGGGAGTAGGGATGGTATACGGGACAAATGTCACATGCGTAATTGGAAACTGACTATGTTCCTAGCGGACTACGTACCATTCCTGTCACACAGATAAATGTTCGTTTAAATTAATTTTCAAAGGGTACCACAATTTAAATTATTATTTGAAATTTAAAAGAGAAGGTTGAGATATGATGATTGAGAAGGTATAACTTGAATGGAATTTTTCTTACTGCACGGTGATGTTATTTTTACTCCCCATAAAACATGCAGCGTCTTACTTGAGCTTGTTCTGTAGCTTTATTTGTGTCAACGCCGGACAATAATATGTAAGGTATTCAGTGTAATGTGGCATATATATTATAGTTGAATAAACATGAAAGCATGCATCTCGTTTATTCATTTATTCAGTCATTTATTCAATCATTTATTTATTTATTTATTTTTTCTTGTTTGAAATTGCTATCAGAGTTACTTGGAAAAAACCACACTCTGGGAAAAGTTCAGTGTTCTAACCCGTTATAAGTTCTAACCACAAGATGCCACACAGTATCACATGGTTTGGGTGATGGACCTCTCAAAATTCATAATTTTGGAAATCAAAAAAAAAAAAATAAATAAAAATAAATAAATAAATAAATAAAAGAAATAATAATAATGAAATAAATAAATAAATTACATCTAGACTTAAGGAAAATAACCCTGTTATATACATGGTGTGTTACGCACTTTTTGTACCGTATTTATTTTGCATCAAACTGCATGATATTGTAAACAAACTAAATATATTTATCTATTAAAACTATTTTCAGTCTACTATTTATTTATCTATTTTTTATTTCACACCAACAGGGAGGTCGTCCCGGCAACCTGGACGAGGAGGCCGCTCACGTCATGATGGACAGGTTTGCCGAGCTAGGAGGAAACTTTCTGGACACAGCCGACGCCTACCAGTTTGGGGAGTCGGAGAAAATAGTGGGCAGCTGGCTTCAGAAGTACTTGGAACCTTTTTTTTTTTTTTTGACAAACTTTCAGAGCATTCAGAACAGGTTGATCCGTGCACTAACAGATCCCGGGATCACATATGGCAGACCCAAAGCAATGCCGATCAATTCCCTGAATGTCTCCCTCCCCCACCCGCCTACGCATGCGCCGTCTTGCAGGGGCCTCGTAATGAAACCTCGGAGCCGAGATTTAATGGCGCGCATGAAGTCGGGGAGATCATTAGGAGAATGAGCGACTTGCTTTTAAGTGAGGTCGGCCTTATTTAGACGGTGGATTATCTGTTCTGAATGCGCTGACACACCTCCTTAAGTTAATCAGTGGTCTATATACACGTAAGAGCGTATTCCCATAGATTTTAGATCGATCTATCCCCGCCGGGAGTCTCATTAGGTTACTGTCAGATAATCCGGCTTAAATGTCCATCCCGCCTACTACAAGCTGTAAGGGGGTAATTACCTTTCGTGCCCGCTCGGCTGACAGCTATTTAGCGTGAACCCCCAGGGAGTTAGGTCGATCTAGTTTGGATCGATCTAATCTCTGGGAATGGGGTCTAAAAGAGATGCATGGTCAACGTGATAAAAAACTGGGTTATCATTGGCTTTTACTAAGGCTCAGGTAGGGGATATTTCAGAGACAAATGATAAAACTAAAGATCATTTATGACCTTGCAATCTGCAGAAAAATGGGAATGGTACAGGCCACCGCTACCACACTTAAGTAAAATAGGTTGTAATTGCCTTTACACAATTCATGGTTTATCACTTGTATGAAAATGTAGTTTTAGCACTGTGCTGGTATTCTTCATAGGCAAGTAGAACATCGGTAGCTGTCACTATCAACCTTGCGTATCGATTGTATCCATATTTGTCAAGTAGAAACTTTGTACCTATAGTTGCAACTTTTGTGAAATGTGTCTATTGTGTTTCTTTATATACCTGATTAACCCCTTCTTTGTGAAGATGCCCGTTCAATTATCCAAAGACATATTTCTCATTTCCAGACAGGACAGGGAGAAGTTTGTCTTGGCAACTAAGGTGGGTGTACCGATGTCCTTCGATGACCCGAACTCCCTGGGTACCAGCAGAAAACACGTCATGCACGGCGTAGAACAGAGCCTGAAGAGACTGCAGACTGATTATATTGACCTCTATCAGGTACATATACATGCTGGGCCCAGTTTCATCAACACTGGATAGCGCTTTCCTCTGGATAACACTATCCTTTGGATAAAATTATTATCCTCAGGACGGTTGTCCTTTGGGTAAAGTAGGCTAATATTTACAAAATGAAAGACAAATTTTTCTGTTTTTGATGTTGCTAATATATTTGTTTCTGATGTTACTAATATTTTTATTTCTGATGTTGCTATCCAGTGGTTAAAATTGGCTGTTCTCTTTTAGACAACTGCCCATAGGATAACAATAATTCTATACAGTGGGTAGTGTTATCCATAGGATTGCCCTATCCAGTGTTGATAAAAGTGAACTTTTTATGTCCAGATATATCTGTTACAGGACAAATTATGAATTTGTTAAATTTGTTTTCAGTCTGGTATTAATTATATTTATGTATTTAATTGTTTTATTTATTTCCTGCTCCAACATGTGGCAAAACGTGTGTTCAAAGTTCACAATCCACTTCTAATATTAACAGACACATGTTTGGGACAACGGCACTCCGGTGGAGGAAACGCTGCGTTCTCTCAGTGATCTGGTCCGTGCTGGTAAGGTGCGGTATATCGGCGTCAGTAATGTGGCTGGGTGGCAGCTACAGAAGATAACAGACTTGGTCAAGTATATGGGGCTGGAGAAGGTGGTCAGCTTACAGGTGCGTCTGAGATATATTTCCTATGGGCCAATTTCCTATAGAATCCTATATATATGATCTTATAGGATCCTATAAGACTTTTTCGTAAGGGGTATAATGTGTGTTTAAATAGAGGGTAATCGTGGGTAAATAATATGATATGATATAACATAATATGATATAATATAATATGAAATTATATAATATGATTAATTAGCAAGTTTTTCCTGTCATATATATGTGTAATGTTATACATGTAGCAGCTGGATATATTACAATTTACAATCGTACTGAACATTACACAACTTTAAATGTTACAATGCTTAGATTTTAAAATGTATGTGTTTTGCTAGGCCCCGTACTACGTCCCAACTTTTAAATGTGTTCATATTTCCAGCAACAATACAACTTGCTGTGCCGTGAGACGGAATATGAAGTGTTAGACGTGTGTATTAATGAAGGCATCGGGTTCTTACCATGGAGTCCACTGAAGGGGTAAGTTTACATGTATGTCTTTGATGTGTGGGACAAGTGATGGACAAGTGTTGGACAAGTGATGGACAAGTGTTGGACATTCCAAGACTCAGGGCGACAGTTTACTTGGTGGGTGGGTGGAGGCTAAATGGATACCTTTTTCTATTTGCTCAACATTTTTAGACCTAAAATACATTTTACAGAGGATATGAGTCATGGATTTTATGGAGAGGCTAGAAGGGGGTAAAGAGGAGCATGTGCGAGTCCCCTAGCTGTAGTGTACCCCCCCCCCCCCCCCAGCACCAACAAGGATCTAACAAGGAAGAAGCTTGTTCATTTGCAGGATTGATTATAATCGAACGCGAGTAAATTGAATTATCAATCAGGCCCGTAGCCAGCAATTTCAAAAAAGTAGACCTTTTACCATGAAACCTTCATGTGCCTAGATAAATTTTTACCCAGAGGGGACCTTTTCCCAGCAAAAGGGGGGGGGGGGTTCTTTCGAATGGCTACGGGCCTGTCAATCGACTGTGAACTTTTTGTAGAATTCCTGATAATTAATGAAGCAATTCCGACCTTTCAGAGGCTGGCTGAGTGGTAAATTTAAGCGTGGTATGGGGGCTGGTGGCGCCTCTAGCAGTAGAATAGGTTGGGTCAGTGAGAAAGCTGGGGAGCGCATCCTGCAGTCGGCGCCATCTTGGGATCAGTATGATAACGACAAAACCTGGACACTTCTGGAGGCCATGGAGAGAATCGGGAAAGAACATGGTAATAGAGTGACCACACCTCAGTAGTCTATTACCTGTAAAAATGTGGTGAAATACGATTTTATGTCTTTTCAAATAAAGACAAAAAAAGAAAAAAAACACTGTGCCTGTAATTTTGTTGAACTATAAAATCAGTTTATTTGTTGCATGAAGGTGTCAGAAAGTGTGCAGGACTTAGAGAGTGGGCCGCAACGTACTGGTTAAAGTCGCTTAATCTCTTTATACATGTACTACCGATTTATTTTTTCCGGTGCGTTTGAAATGAGAGGGTATTATCATAGGCTTAAGGATGCTGAAGGGGGGAGGGGCAGTAGTAGGAACGTAGCTATCTTTTTAACCGACCAAGATATACCAACATGTTGCATATTAACAAAAAAAGGTTATTGCAACAACTTTCCATTTCATGTCCTTATTTTATTAGGT